GGGGGTCGGCCTTGCTCCCAAGAGCCATTGTATTGAGCAGCTGTAGCCTCAAGTTAGTCGCCACTGTTGGTGACAGTGGACAGTGACATGTCACTGAGACGTGGTGCGCAGTGTGGTGCAGGCTCGCAGGGAGCCCTGAGGGCTGGGTCCTCGGGAGGGACAGTGGGAAGGGTCTTCTCATGCCATGTGTCACCCCACAGGGAAGGTCTCTTGGGGCCAGTTTCCTATCCAGTTGCATGGCATTTCAGGGTTAAAGGCCACGCTTTCACTCAGCCTGAGTCTGAGGTTCGGGGAGCAGGCGGTGGAGGCGAGGAGGTGCCGCAGGCCTCGGGAAGAGGCTCGCGCTCAGGGACGTGGCCCCTTTGAGAAGATGTGGAGGGGCCGGCCCTGAGCAACTGGGAGCAGCAGTTGTGTGTGAGCGAGGCAGAGCCTGTGGTCTGCCTTCAGCCAGCCGGCTGTCCCCCTCACACGCCCAGCCGTGCTCACACACACTCGTGCTCACACTCACTCGTGCTCACACACGCTCGTGCTCACACTCGCTCACCCAGGCCGCAGTGGCGCCCGCGGGACGTGTGGGGCCAGGTGTGTGTGCTCCTGGTGGGGGCAGTGAGTCACCTCCCTGTCCGGCCCATCTCCTGGACCCACGCTCAGCGACGCTCAGAAGCTGGGCCCAAGCCCCATCCTTCACAGCTGAAGGAACCGGGCCTGCACAGGGGTGGCCACCGTGGTCACAGCGGCTGCGGGACAGTGGTGAAGCACTGACCGCCCAGCCCAGCAGCAGGGCAGCTCCCGGGGCCTCGTGAGTTCCGCCCCGTGTCCCCGCTGGTCCAGCTGGTTCTGTTACGTCCAGCACTGACCACTGAGCTCTCACTCTGTGGCTCGGGCATCAGGAAACTCCTGTGTTCATACTGCTTGGCTTTTGTGGTTGATCTTTTTTTAATGCTTGTCCTCTTCCAAGAGAATTTCAGCAGCTACAGAATTACCAGGGAGACAGAAGAGCAGGGAAATCAGAACGTGGGCAGGGAGGGCAGGGAGGGTGTGGCGGGCTGGCCTGAGGTCAGTGCAAGGACACAGGGGGATGGCCTCGGGGTGGGGGAGTGGCCCGGGGTCCTGCGCCCCCCCGCTCAGTTACTGGGTGGGACGGACACGTCTGAGGTCCTCCGTCCTGCCCGACAGCTTCCCCAGAGCTTGACCACGGAGCAGGCTGCCCGCCGTCCAGTCTCCAGGCCAGAGCCTGCACTGGGCGGGGGTGGGGGTCTCGTGTCCGGGCTGTGTCCCCAGGGCTGCGAGTCCCACTGTCCCTTTCCCCGTCCTCCAGCACAGGAAGGGACGTGGGGTGGGGCCCTGGCCCCTTGAGGAGCTGCCCTGCACCCTCTGCAGGCGAGAGGGGACCCACCTGCCTGGAGTGTGCTGGCGTCTCCTGCAGCCCCTCCCAGAGACGGTGCCTCTTCCTGAGCCGTCTCAGTCGGGGAGCCTCACCACGGCCCTGCTGCGGGGA